ACGAGTTTGAATGGAAGAGAAAGGGCAACAAAAAGTAGTTCGAATGAAGACCAGTTCCAGGACATAGCGACAGCGAATCAGCTTCTGGATGCCCGTGCAGCGGCGGAGAAAGGTTTGTCTCTAATCGAGGAACGCAACAAACTGTTAAAAATCGTTATTAAGATGATGTCAACAGATGTCATCCAAGGATCTTGTAATTAATTGCCCAAAATTTTAAAAAATTCCCAAAATGTTTGCTTTTTATAATAAATTGTTACCCAATAAATTAATTGCTGTTTCTAGTGATGTGATAACAGATTTTAAGGATGATACCAAGAAGATTTCCACTAAGACCAGTTGCCCAAGTTGTCCAAGAGTTTGTACCAAACAAATTCTGTTTGATATCTCAGAGTTTGGTTAGGAATTATTGGAGTAAAGTTATGTAATAAATAGCTCAAAGTTACCAACTTTGCTTTCATGGTTTTTAAGATGATGTCAACAGATGTCATCCAAGGATCTTGTTGTAATGAATTGCCCAAAGAAAATGTTAAACAAAATCCCAAAATGTTTGCTTTTTATAATAAATTGTTACCCAATAAATTAATTGCTGTTTCTAGTGATGTGATAACAGATTTTAAGGATGATACCAAGAGATTTCCACCAAGACCTGCTATAAATATGTTGGCCAAGTTGTCCACAAGTTTCCCAAGAGTTTGTACCATACAAATTCTGTTTGATATCTCAGAGTTTGGTTAGAAATTATCCCAAAATTATGCCATCAGATCTCACTCATAAATCCTGTTGATATTCAAGTCCTCCCATGTTTGTATTGGTAGTGAAGACAGAAATGCTGACCTTAATCGATGATGATCCGTACATCAAACGATTCTACATTAATCAAAAAAAGTGTTGCTTACTGTCACAGAAATTGCTGTGAATATAATGACAATAGTTCTCTTTGGCTTGACTTGCTGATCCACGATCTTCACAAATAAAATTGACATCATCAGCAGCATTAAAGGATTCAGGTTTCCATATGGTACTGAATGTCTTGCTAACATTCATAGTTTACCCAAATTGTTCTAGATTTCCAACATGTGTAAATGAAGATGTGATTGATATTAAAGCTGCAGGTTTTTGATACTTGTTTTCATGATGAAGACAACATGATAACATCTTCAAGTTTCTAGTCTTAACCACATTGCCAACATTATCAGTGATTGGCAATAAAGAAGTGATTTTATTCAAAGAACCTTGAAGGCTTACATCTTTGATGGATGAAGAGGCTTACATCTTTGATGGATGAAAATGTTCAAGACGTTACAAATGATATGGTAAACTTTGTTCCATGACATCCAGACTATCATCAGTATTCTATGTGTTGATCCTACTGATGTTTTTTTTTTTTTCGTCTTCTTCTTCATTGATCATATAATTAGTAACTGAATGCTGTCCAATATCAATACCTTCTGTTTAGTGCCAATCAATAATACATGTACAAGCACCATGTATGACTGTAAATCTAATAAATAACAATCATTCCCAATACATGTTTTCAAATATTCTCTCATAATACATGCGTATGTTTTGATAAATGTACTACATGTTCACAAATCTTTTTTCTTTGATGATTTTACAGTAATTACTGCAAACACACATTGTCAAAGTTTTGCCTGATCCACTGTTGCTGTTAGTTATAATGCTCTACACCAAATATCATACAGAGAGAAGAGCACATGGTACAGGTACCTTCCTTGTAGATGTGCTGAGCGAGTTTGTAAACTACACCAAGGTCGCTTTGCTAATAATCAACAACTCTCTGATGTATTAAATCCAATGAATGGCTCTTTATAATGCTACCAAATACCATTAGTAAATAAATGTAGTTTTTATCTTTTTCTTTTTTCTCTTATTATTCCAAATATCCTCACTCTGGTTGCCATACATTTTCTTGCTTAAATCATAGGTGTTGCCATTAGTGATATAATTTTCTATTGATAATTATGCAAATAATATTCCAGTGTCAAAGATTTTTTGTTGCAATGACTTTGTTTGAAGATTCTTTCCATTGTTTTATATAATGTAGTGTGCAACAAATAATATGAAGTTCCAATATAAATATTCCAGTGTCCAAGATTATTTTTGTTGCAACGTCCATTATTTGAAGATTCTCTGCATTGTTTTATATACATGTACTGTAGTATGCAACAAATAATATGGAGTTCCAATATATGTAAATATTCCAGAGACCAAGATTATTTTTGTTGCAATGAATATCTATTTATGTGATGATTCTTTGCCGTTGCTTGATAAACAGTAGTATGTGACCAATAATATGAAGTCCCAATAATGAATATAAATATTCCAGTTCCAAAGATGATTTTTGTTGTAATGACTAGTTATTTGCTGTTGTCCCTTACAGTTGTTGATATAGTATGTAACAAATTATTGAAGTCCAAACGATATTCCTGGTGCCCACATTGCTTTTTGTTGTAATGTCAGACTATTACTTGATGATTCTTTGGAGTTGTTTGATATTAACATTGTTTTTGTTCTTCCCATTTGCATACTGAATTGTAATATTGTAACTCTGTGGATTGTATTTTGTCTTTGGACTGGATGCGTATGCATTGTTGACAGTGGATTAGGTAATTGCTTTGTCCATCATTGCAACATCCAAACATATCAGTTTTGCTTTACAAGATGGCAGCAAACCTCTCTCCATTAGATTGTAAATAAAATAGATAAATAAATACACTTTTTACTTCAACTTTTGTTTCATTTCACAATAAATAAAGTTTTAAAGTTTAAATTTTTGATCTATTCTAATAAAGATTATAATTTCAACAGATTTTTTTATTTCAGTAGGCACATTGCTCTACTGAAGGAAAGTATCATAGAAGATTGATAAGCACATGTAGTGAGATGTAATACTACGATATTCAAACTCAAAAACATCAAAGAAAAGAGATAATGAGATACAACAGTCTGGTAGACTTAAAGTCTGATGAATTCTCTTGTGAGCTTTCATAAAGTTATAGAAATAAAGGAAGTTATAGTGCTAGGAAGGACAGGTTAATCTGGGAGAAAGATCCTTGGAAATACATTCGGAAAAATTAATTTCCGACCTGACTGGGATTCAAACCCACAGCTCTCAGATTTGCACTACTAATGCTCTACCAGCTGAGCTACAATCATTAAGTTAACCCAGCCTACTACAACTTAAGACCTGACACACAGCCCATAAAAACTAAGCTCTTGACTAGTACACCTTTCTGAAACAACTTTGCTAAGATTAGCGCTATCAAAGTAAGGTCAGGAAAACAATTAAACTTTGTAGAAAATCAATTTGATTGGAATTTGTCTAGAAAAAATTATGTTGATACTACATAAAAGTTAATGAACTTAACTTTTGATTACTTTAGAAGGTAAAAATTGCACTTTTTAAATCTATTCATTTTTTTTTTGGAGAAAATTCTCATTTTCAACAAACAAGACAAAATTCACATTGAATTCAATCCTAGTGCTGTCATCTTAGAGGGTTATTTCCAAGTATTACCATTCACTGGTCAAGCTGCAACACTATGACAAGTTTAAGAACACATGATTTGTTGATGTCTAGATATGAAATGCATTGTAGGGACAGATCAAACTACAACATTTTTTTTGACAATACCTTCAACAAGAAATTACAATTGTAAGCCTGCTGTATTCCTTAATCGTGACATGTCAAAAGATTTTCCTTCGGACAATACTTTAAAAGTAAATTTCTTACACTTCTCTCAAAACCTACAAAGCTGGGCAACACATCAATTAACATAAAAAGTTGAACATCATAGCAGATCCAATAAGCTCTTAAACCAAATCCAATGCCCATCTAGTTGTAAATACAGTAATTATATAAAAGACAAATATATTTAAATTTGCTGGCCCTAATTCAATTAAAGACATTGAAGCCTTTGAATTTTCCAATATTTCCAGTAATTGTTATGACAAGTTACTGTACCTATCCCTTAACATATAAATTAATTTATGATTGGTTCTCATTTTGTTTGATTCTAATATAGGTCATGATTGGTCAATCCATCATTATACCATCGTACTCTACAGTCCTTGCTTATTTATAAACAATTTTGCTTGCAAAGTACAAACATGTAACACAAATTACTCCCCCTACCCCCCATCAAAAACATCAATTGGACAAGTAACCAAGGTAGCAGAACCAGTAGTACAGCATATTTAGGCTGAAAGTACTCTTACCTGGTAAGTGGTATCTGAGCATAAAATGGTTGCTGGGACCAATAGTGCAGAATGCAATCAGTTAGTTTTATATTCAGATTGATACCATGTACCGACATAATAGTAATAAATACTAGGTGCTTCTTCATATACAGGAATAACAAGCAAATCCTTTGCTGTAAGGTTTTGTTCTCTATTGAACTACGTCAATTGTTTCCCAGACAAATACATATACTGCTATACACAAGTTGCAAAAGTAGTCTTGGTAGCACAGCTCCAATAAAATTGACAATGCGTACATTGAATAAAGATACCACTAAAACAATGGCTTGTTTGTTTACAAGACATTCAATTGTCAAGCTTACATTACCAATGATGCTCTGGAGGGGGGATGGCCCTGTTTCTATTGTTATCATAACATTTGACTCCTCCTTACTTCATTCACGAGCCTAACAATAAATTCCATGACTTCCTTATACAAGTAATATCTATAGCTATTCTTACCACCTCTTTAACCTCCACAACTCAACGAACTTCGACGTCGTTTAGCCTCCGTCATGTCAGAAAGGAACATGTTCATGTGTTTACCCTAAAACGTCAAGTAAACCAACATATTTAATGTCTAATAAGTTCTTTTGACAGAAGGATAAGAGCAACGTCGAAATAGAAGTATTTTTAAACAATTTTACCTTCAAAATATGTCATTTTATGATTCCACGCAGAGGAGGTTGAGCATTAGTCACGTGACGTTTTAAACCAATCACAAGGTTCAATATTTGAGAGGCGCAATTTCACTTCGAGACAGAACAAGAGTTTAAAACTTCTAAAAAAAACGATAAAGATTTGATTCCACATCAAATCAAAAGATCAAATGAAACGGAACAACACCTCCACTATGTCGTGATGAAAAGTCAGAACAGGTAAGCGATTATTACTGCCGCAATTAAAATTCAAACAATCAACATTTGAATAGCTTAACGATCGCGAAGACAATGAAGGCCATACAAAAGACGTCTTAGAAAAGACCATTGAAGACACAAGTCATGAATAGAATCACGTTGATTGCGAAGATAGAAGTCCAAAAATCTCGAAACTTTTATCCCACCCCATCCCACCTCTGGCCTGTGCGAAGATATCAACAGTTGAATATGAAGCAAATAGGCGCCATTTTTGATATTTACGATGCATTTTTGACACATGATTTCAGTGATACATCTGAGCTTTAAT